AGGGGTGTGACTTTGAGGCAGACCCTTGTTGATATCTCAGGCTGTCACGGGTTCTGGGCATCGATCCCTAAGAAGGATGTCAGGACACAAGAACAAAGTAGAAGGAATCGGAGAAGCTGACTGCTAGTGTGCGTGTAGGGAAGGCAGTGAAGCTTTGCAAAGCTGTGAGGCTCTCATTTTAGCATCCCTGGCACATGTCAGGGCAAGATTCTATCTGTAAGGAGACAAAAAGTCTTATTTTAGGTAACGTGTGGCTTTAGTATTAGGAACGCATAGGGTTTTTCCTTACATTTTCTTCCTTCCAGCTTGCTTTGTCTCTTCACAGCATTTGACCTGATTTGAGTTTCCTCAATTTCCCCTCATCCCAGCTCTATTAATTCTCAGATGGACCAGTCAGCCAAACTCCAGCAGAAAACCCGGAAGTGCTGAGACCTCTCTCCTCCTTCCCTGCCCATGCCTATGCTAAGCAGAGGCTCATTAGTCTCCTCACCTGCCCATGAACAGCCCACTTCCAAGGGTGCTCGCATACGTCTCCGTGTTCGTGCCCATCGCCTCTGTAGGGCAGCCCTTGCCTCACACTTGTCACTCTGCATTTAGTGTTCTTCCCATTCTAGCCTGTACGCTTCCATCAGATCTGTCTTTCTTGAATGCCCTTTTACTCAAAGTACTCTTCTGTTCAGAGCTGACACATTTAGCTATATTTAGTTTGCTTCCAATCTAGACACTTATTAGACACTTAGTGTATGTCAGAAACTGAAATATTTGTGGGAAATTTGTAAAGATGAATAAGTAAAATTTTATCACGAGAGGTTTTTTTTATTAAATTGTGACAACAGTATTTAAGGGGCTATGATTAATTTCGCCTGAATGGAAGGCCTGGGTGGTACATTGGTAACACTCACTTAGTTCCATAAGCTCAGATTTATTAGCTTACCACTAACCAAATCAAAGGAGGCCACTTATTTGTGTAAAAAGGAAGATGGATTTATTCAAAGTTAGCTCTGAGAAGATTGAAGGGCCCATTTTCTTCAAATCACTACCTCACGATGTACATCTATCTTAGGGTCTTTTATAGCAAGAGGTAGTTGTCTGTCTCAAAATAAAAACAATAAAAAAGTGCTGGGGATGTAGTTCAATGGGAAGGCCCTGGGTTCAAGCCCCAGTACCAAAACCAAGAAGAACAAACACCCATAGTGAAAGCGTAAAAGTGTTATAGCTACTTTTGAAAGCAGTTTGGCTGTTTTCTTCTAAAGCTAAACATGTATTATACCCTCTGTGTGACCCAGAAATTCCATTTTTATGTATTTACCCAAGAGATATGAAGACCATTGTACAAATAGACTTGTATATAAATATACCTATTAGCTTTAATCTGGAAACAATTTAAATGTGTATCAAAAAGTAAATCAGTAAATAATTACACCCAAGCAAGGAGTGCACCCAAGCAAGGGGCTTCTACTCTATTTTTTTTTTAGAAAGGATCACAGACATCTGTAAGAACATGGATAAAATTCAAGATTTCTTTTTCAGTGAAAGAAGTCACACAAAAAACTAAAGTACCTGTGCATAGTTCCCTTTATATGAAACTCCTAGACAATGCATACTCAACTAAAATTGAGGGACACCAAACCAATGGCTGTCTAGGTAGGACTAAAAGTAGTGATGGATTGAATAATGGCCCCAGGGAACTTTTAGAGGTGGTGGAATTTTTTTTTTTATCTTCACTGTGTTCACAGTTTTACTGATGTATATATATGTCAAAATACCCAAGGTAGAGTAAAACCTTGGATTGTAACTTGTTCTGTGCATGTTCTGCAAGACAGGAAAACATTTCCAATAAACTTTAACTTGATAAATGAGTGATATCTTGCAATGTGAGCAATATGTGATACTAAACATCACATGGTCACAAGTCTCAGTGGTCCTTCTCTCTATTTTTCTCTCTTTCTGAGGAACTGTGAGTGGTCCCCTCTGAACTGCAAAAAGTTATGGAGGAGCTCTTGTCTACAGAGGAGGAGGAGAAAGGGACAGAGGAATCCCTCACTTCAAATGAGATTAGGGAGTTGTGTAAAATATAGGACAGTGTAAAATTTTGTAGGAAAGCACCATTTGAATAAGGGCATAGCAGAGCAAGCAGTAAATATGCTTAATGACAATGGAGTGTCATATTTCTGCAGAATCCTCAACAGGAGGTACAACTGTAAAAGTAGTATTTGTCAAGGGCCATTTTCTATTAATTTGGGGGGAAAAATCATTTCATAATTAAATTGTGATTAGGGCTTGTCTGAGGCCTAGTATATTGCCATGTGAGTTGGCTATGGTATTTGGGAACATACCTTCATGTGCCTCTGGTCAGAATGGAGGTTTCAAGGTTCCCGTGATGCTCCAGGGCAAGATTACATCAGCTGAAGACATCCTGGATCCTTGAGAACCAAGTAGTAACAAAAAAAGTTTTCATCAGGGGAAAGGACAAACTTCTTGTTAACCTGCACTCTCCCCTCACTGTCCTCATCAACAGAAGATCCTTGTTAATTTAAAGATCACCACCATCCTCTGAGTCATCCAAAGTGATCCTCATGAACATGATTCTTCTCAGCAAAGGACCACCACAGCCCTCCGAGTCACCCGATAATCCCCTCACCTTGACAAATACTACTTTTATGGTATAATTTATTAACATATAATGTATTTATAATAAGCTGAAAATATACAGAGTCTCCAAAAAAATGTATACACACTCAGGAAAAGAAAAATAGTATGATGATTTTCAATATTTGGTGTTACCCTCATATGGGGAACTCTAGAGGACGTCATATATTGCGGAAAACCCACTACACTTCTGGCCCTTAGAGAAGAAGTTGAAAATGCAATCTCAATGGACACGTTGACCAAGGTTACCCAAGCAGTTCACAGTAATAATAAATGTCTGGAAGGTAATAGTGAACAATTTGAGTATCTCTTATAATTGTAGAGGCCAAGGTAACTTGTATTAATCCCATGATGTCTCAATAAATCTAGTATTAAATTACTTATACAAGTTTTTCTTTTTCCTCATGTTGTATATACATTTTTAAGAACTCTGTATATACAGGAAAACCTTCATTTCTGAGCATACTTTGCTCCTGAAATATGCTTCTAATCCAAAGCACTTATAGTGTATTTCCATATAAGAAATACTGGAAACTCAGAAGATTTCTTCCACAAACCAAAACATATTTACATAAAAATGATTACAACACTGTAACATAATACAACACAATAAAGATAATGTAAAATAAACAAATTAAAGAAAACTAAAGGAAAATAAACCAATTAAACTGCACTTACCTTTGAGAACCTTCATGATTAGAGTGAGGGAGACAAGAGAGAGGAGGTTACTGTGTAGGACAATTTTCACAATCATTAATAGAATCACTGCTCTCTATTGGCTCAGTGGAATCTTTTTACTTTCTGTGCATCTTTAACCAGGAACCTATCTAATGACAGTTGTGCCTCACCATTTTCCTCAATGTAAATGTGATCAGTAAATACAGAGGTTCTGGCTGCCTCGTAACCTATTGTACCCCACAAACATCTGGCCATCCCAGATACCCCTTGCACTGCCACTTATCTTTTGCTCTTTCTTTTCACCATAACATCTTGCAGGAAATTGGGGACTCACTGTGGGTGTCCCTAGCATTATTAATTTAAAAAAATAAACGCTACCGTGTCTCAAAGATAAGCACCATTAGAAACTACTTCCTGCTTGATATCCTCAGTTTTCCCAGACTGTGCAGAGTCCACTGAGCACAGTCCAGGGGATGCCTGCTGCCCACAGGTGGCAGTGGGGACTCCTGGAGATGGCTGCATGGCACAAAGTGCGAGATTAAGTCAAGGAGCACTGGGGAATATCTGGGGATTTCTATGTTCAATACATATGTTGGGTTATAATAAAGCTTATCTGAGAAACCTCTACAGCACATTTTTCACAGGACTGAAATTCCTAAATAAGGTTGGTTCTGGAGAGCAAGACAAATACTAGCATCCTGCTTATTAGCTAACAGTGTTAAAACAGGATTTTACAAATAGGAATGGTGTTTTGCGTTGTGAAGCTATGTAAGAGTGAGGAATGATTCAGTGGGATTCTGCGCTCCAGAAGCATATGGCATCTTGGGAAAATGTGATATAAATGCCACCAAGAAAGGCATGTATTATAAATCATGCACAAGAATCAAGAGAAGATTAGCGGAGAAAAATAGGAAATCCTCTTCCTCTTTGGGTAGGCTGGATGAAAGCTTCAGAGTTTAGAAACTGGCATTTGGACTAGAGTTTGAATATTTTAATAAAAATAAAATATGACTATGATTGTGGGTACAGATATACTCAGTTCTTCACTCTAGGGCTGTCTACAGTATGGAATCTGCAGTCTATAGTGAAGAAATGTCTGAATTAAAGACACTTTAAAAACAAGACAAAGACAATGATTGAAGATGAGAGTGTGATGGTCTTAAATAGTATTTGAAAAGCATGTTTTGGAGGCAATTTGACCAATGTAAATGACTTAAGGACTTTGTGTGTGCATGGATGTGTGTGTGTGTGTGTGTGTGTGTGTGTGTATTTGGGAGAAAGAGAGGAACAGCAATAGATCAGAGACAGTACGAGATAGATCAAAATACTGAGATTGAACTAGTGAGTGCAAGTATTTGAATGTACTTAGAAATATTTCATGTCTTTGCAAGAATTGCTAGTTTTCCTTTCTCTTTCATTCTGTGTGGTTTTTTTTTTACTTAAAATTTCTCCTAAATTTGCCAGTGAGTGGTCTTGAGGTATCATAAAAAAGCTAAGTGTTAAGGAGAAAGGGGCATCAACTTACCTGTTATATTTTGTCACATGTGTGGAGCGATCTGATAGTCTCATCTTGCAGCTGGAACCCTCACAGTAATGTCACTCATCAAGTGGTGTCAACAATAAAGAATTTTAAAAGCCTGTCTGTCTTGCCATACCACCCAAATTCCTTAAGTGCGATAAAAAGCAAATTTCTGACAGGTGAACTTTTTTTCTTTAATCAAACTGGTAATAATGTGGCTTCTTTGAATCTATGACAGGTAAGAAGGGCAAAGGAAAAAAGGCAATGTTAACATGTTTGGAGAACTCTTTGTGACTGCCATGGTGAGATTTGTTCTAACATAAAATTTGTTAAAGGAAATGGAAACATGGCGGAGGAGCATGGGAACAGAGACGGCAATGAAAATTTCACAAAGTGTTTGTGTTTTGGGTCCTCTAACTACTCTGGAGTGGCAGGGAATTCCATCCTAGGAATACAAGTAAGTAAGATTGCTGGTTCAAATGGTAGTTTTAAAAAAGTTTTTTTTTGAGAAACCTCACCAACACGTATCTTTTAGGTTTTGATAATAGCCACCTTAGTAGGTGTAAGGCATCTCTCATTGTGATTTTGGTTTGTAAATGGGGAAAGAAAATGTAGCGTATATAAAAAATATTATTCAAGCTTCAAAAGGAAAAAAAGTCCTACCATGTACATCCAACAGCATAGATGTACCTGGAATCCATCATGCTCAGTGACATGTCAGTCATAGAAGAATAAATACGGATCAATTCAATTTGTTTGTGGTATTTAAAATATTCAAAGACATAGAAATAGGCAATAGCTGGTAGTCACCAGAGTGTGGAATGCCAAGTATGGGGGCTTATTGCTCAATGGCTATAACGTTACAATTATACAAGAATATATTCCAGAGATCTGCTGTATAACACAGTACCTGTAATTAATAGTAAGGAGTACATACTTAAACACTTATTAACAATTTAGATTTCATAAGAGTTCTCATCACAGAAATAAAACAAAAAATCTGAAAAGAACAAGGGAACGGAAAGAGAGTTGGAAGTGAGAGATATATGTTCACTGTCTGAAGGGATGGTGATAGTGATAATGCAAGTGTATATGTGTGTTTCAACTCACAAAATTGTATATGTTGGTTATGCGCAGTTTTTAGTATAGTAATTATGCCTCAATAAAGCTGGTGGTGGGCAAGAAAGTAACACATTGAGAACCTTTGTATGAATAGGAACTAGATTTCACAACACTTTGATTTTCTTCTTGCTTTATCCAAGAGTTGCAAGTCATCCCTCTCTATGGGGTGGTAATGGGGAGGGAATAGCAAAAGGCCTCAGATACAGAATAACACAAACATTTGTTTAATACTTTGAATTCTTTCATGTAATTTATATCATTTGATCTTTGGAATAAGTTCCTAAGGTAGGCATTGTGGCAAGATAATTTACTAACATTCATTTCCATGAGAAGATTCATTGGTTTTATTTACTCAGTCATTTAGTCATTCAGTCAACTAATATTTATGAAGTCCTACTATGTGCTAGCATTGAGGATAATAATAAGATAAACAGGGCAGACTTATAGCTGGAAAATACAAAACATAAACTTGGACAGTCTGAGATGCTGGAGAAATAAACAAGGTGCTAGAAGAAAAATTTTTAAAGTTTGGAGAAAGAGGAAGTTCTGAGAAAAGAGAGAGATAAGCTGAGACCCAAAGTATGAAAAGGAGACAGGTGGTGCACTGAGTTGGAGAAAGCGTGTCTGAAGAAAAGACAATAGATCGTACAATGTCCACCACGCAAGAAGAAGCTGCAGAAATTAGTTTTAAGAAACTAGTTATTTTTGTTTTTTTTTTCTGGTACCGGGAATCAAACTCACAACCTTGCGCTGGCCAATCAGGCGCTATGCCGCTGAGCTAAATCCTCAGCCCCTAGATTTTTTTGTTTGTTTGGTACTGGGAATCAAACTCAGGACCTTGTGCTTGCCAGGCAGGCGTTTATACCACTGAGCTATATCCCCGGCAAGAAACTAGTCAAGAAATTTGTTTTCTTGGGCAGGGGATATGGCTCAGTGGCACAAGTGCCTACCCAGCCAGTGGAAGGTCCTGAGTTCAATTTCTGGTACCAAAAAAAAAAAAAAGAAAGAAATTAATTTTCTTCCTCAGGTTTCCAAATATCTAGGTCCTTGCTACCTCTATTCCTGGGAAAATGTTGTAAAAACTGCTGGGAAAATAAAAGTCTATTGGTCTTCAACAAAGCATTAGCTTACTATAGACTATTACAAGGTAGGAAAATGAATGGGCAAGGGAGAGGGAACTGTCTTGGTGGCTGTTGGTGACAGAGAAGTGATAGATGGCATTCCTAGGAAGTGGGAGGTAGACAAAGATTAGCAGTTCCAGTGGGTAGGGGATACCTGTCTCTTGTAGGTATTTTGAACAGATGATATGATCTCTACTGGAAATAACATATGGTGACTCTTAAAGGTCAAATGCAGCCAATAAGGAATTCTAGCCCCTTTGAGGATCCTGTGTCATAGCTTGGGGAGCATACGTGGACCACAGACCTGAAGGGACCATTCAGACAGAGCTACCAGGTTCTCAGAAGTTCCTAGTGCAAGCCAATACTCAGAGGCCCTCCTCAATTCCTCTGCCTTTTGGCACCAAGACGGACCACAAAAGCTCAGCCCAGCCCCAGTCCCAAAGGACTGGGATAGGGATAGGTGGAAAATAATAATTAAAACTGACAAAGCCATTGAATAGGGTATAGGCACAAAAATAAATTAGCTGCTCATTATTTGTGGGGAACTTAGCCAAGGAGTACATGGTTAAACTATGTGGCAAAAGCATGCAGACTCTGAAGAGTGAGTGGTTAAACAGCAAGAAGTTAGATTAGTGAGGCATGTTGTGCCTGGCCATTGTCCCTCCCTTTCCCCAAAAAAACTTCCTAACCTAGAGACAGCTCCTTGCCAAAACTGCCTTTCTTTGGCCTTTTTCCCCCACCGTACAATGATATTCTAAATAAAAACCCGAGCTTTTTGCTCTCAGGTGCTGCTCCTAGGGGTCTCCCTAACACTGGGTACTCTCAGTTGAATGGCCCCTCTGGTTCTCTCAGTAATCATTCACTCTCTGCACTGTCGGACACTGTGACAGTTATCTTCTGTTGCCCACCTCTGGAGCCACTCTACTCTGTCTTTCCTGCTGCGTGCTCCGGGGGTGTCATCGCTAATGGTATCTGCCACCCACTCTCTCACAATCTCTGCGTCTTACTTGAATTCAGACAATGGGAGATGCCGCAGCTACAGGAAGATAGGAGTTTTGGGTTCTGTCAGTGGGAAACACTGATAGAAAGACACAGGAGCTTGGGAGGAGCAGGAGTTCAGAAAGTTGGTTGTCTCAGCTCTCTTTGCCTTGGTAGTGTGCTATTCCGACAGTGGCTGCGGTACTGAGGTTATAGTTTCTGGTCAGCAGCCCTTATTGTAGTGCCCTGGCTCTTTCCCTGACTCTGGAAACATTTCTTCTGTCCTTTGTTTACGGGGGCCTAGGACAGGTAACAGATATTGTTTTTGCTAAACCCTATGCACTTCTACCTCAGTGGTTTCCTTAACTTTGCCCACCCTATCAATGGTCCTTCCATTAAATCCCCTTCAGGTAAATACTCTGAAGTGGACTGTTTAGTTCTTACAGAGACACCCACTGACTCAAGTCAATTAAAAGGAAATCAAGTTGGTACATCTTACAGATCTAAGGCTGCGAACT